TAATCGCGATTAGAAATTTGATTAATTCTGCAGCCCTAACACACATATATATATATATATATATATATATATATATATAATTCACTAAAAAACATATATATAACATGGAGGGACATTCATATTTTCTATTTTAATTTTAAAGTTTTAGTAATTTGTGTTTTTGTCAATTATTTTTTAAATGTATAGTTTTTAAGTAGTTCTTACTTTCATTTTATTTAGTTTTAGTTCTTTTAGTACATCAACGTAAACTAAATTGAGGAGGTCTGTACTCTTTAAATGTGTTGAGTTAGTTTGTACTTTCTTTTAGAGTGGTTCATTTGTATAATTTTCTCTGCTTCATCCTGTAGCATGAATGGAGCTCTTGCTTTTGTGGACACGTCAGACTGCACCATGATGAACATCGCAGAGCATTACATGGCCTCAGACGTAGAATGGGACCCCACCGGACGATATGTTGTGACATCTGTCTCCTGGTGGAGCCACAAGGTGATTTATCTGATTCAATTGCAAATATATATTTATTATTAAATTACACTAGCGTTCAAAAGTTTGAGGTCAGTAAGAATCTTTTATGAAAAGAAATGAATACTTTTGATGTTGAGTTAAAAATATCAATAAACACATTAATCAATAATACTTTTTCAGAGATTTTTCAGACGTTTCAGTTTTAATGACTAATTGACACTTCAATGACACTTGAAATGTGCTAAAACACTTAATTTAATGTGAAAAACACTTACATAAACAAGTTTATAAATAAATAATCTTTTTTCCATCCCAATCTAATTTTCCAATGTGGTAAAATGGTAAAACACCCACAGGTGTAGCAGAAAACATCTGGGTCATGTTCGCTTTTTCTTCTGTCAAATTCTGTTTAACCTGGATTTTATTAGGCATAAAGTAAGGTCTTTAGAATTCATGCATGTGAAAATCAGCTCAGAATTGAACAGATAGTTGTAAACTGGCTCAGAGGAAGATGGGAATCATGTTTTTTCTTACTGATTAAGAGATATTACAAGATGACTACACCTTACAAATTATAATAAAAAGCAAAAATGCTATGAAACACACATTTTGTGAAAACACGTGAGGTGCTATAGTAAAATAGACACTATTTTTGTAATTGGCACCCCAAAATGAGTAAGAAATAAGATTGGATTTCAGTCATAAAATATGATACAGGGAGGTGTTTATTATTATTCCTTTGTGGATTGAAAATGCATATCAGATGCCATTGTATAAACTGATAATTTTAAAAAATTTAAGGTGGACAACGCCTTTTGGCTGTGGACATTCCAGGGCCGTCTGCTGCAGAAGATCAACAAAGAGCGTTTCTGCCAGCTGCTGTGGAGGCCCCGTCCTCCCTCTCTCCTGACTCAAGAGCAAATAAAGGTGAGAAGGGGTCAGATGCAGGGTCACTCTCATTTCTCTGTCAAGCAGAGTCAACTCTAATCCCACTTTACATTTTGAAACCCACAGCTCATTAAGAAGGACTTGAAGAAATACTCCAAGATCTTCGAGCAGAAAGATCGTCTCAGTCAGTCCAAGGCATCAAAGGTATGAAATTGATCTGTTGTTGGTTTTTTTTTCCCCCTAGGATGCACACAGTATTCATATGTGGATCAAAGGTCAAAGTGATCAAAGTGCCTTGTGCTTCACAGGAACTGGTGGACAAGAGACGTTCCATGATGGAGGAGTATCGCAAGTACCGTGAGAGAGCCGTAGACATGTACAACGAGCAGAGACCTCTCCGCCTTGAACTCAGAGGAGGTAACTAACGCAGAGAGGGCAGCTCTGTTTAACATGGAGTTTTATTGACCATCAGTGACATCTCTTAGGCTGCTTAGCAAGCACAGTTTCAGTGCCTTTCTCTAGAATACACCTGTTGCATTTATTGATCCAACCACAATTTTTTTAAACAACTGCGATGTTTAATCTTTAAGTTATGCAATCACATTGCCATTCAAATAAATAACTTTTATACTCCAAATACTGAATACTATAAATAACCGGAGGGTTTTAGCAAAACTTCCGAGGGGGCCTTGAGATGATTTCTATAAATGAATAGTCTTATGCCAAGCTTAAAAATATTTTGTAAGGTGGAAATTGTGAATAAAAAATTCAATATTTTATATAGAATTTTATATTATATATTCTGTGTACTGCAGAAAAAAACCGTGTGAAATTCAGTTGCAGCAGTTTTGAAATTGACTTAACATTTTTAAATGTTCCACTTGTGGCAATATTTTAATTTTAAACTAAATAAAAATGGAAATAGAACTGAATTTTCTGACCTTTTCTAGGTGTGAACGCTGATGAGCTGGACAGCAATGTCGATGACTGGGAGGAAGAGACCATTGAGTTTTTCATCAATGAAGAAATTATTCCCATCGGAGATCTGTAATTCCAACAGCAGGTACTGTGTGTGCAGCAATATGACTCTGGTATGCTATTTGAAATACCTTGGCACAGTCAAAATTATTTTCTTTTGTTGTTTTCAGTATCCGTTTTTTAGTGGAGGAGTGTGGACTAGCATTGGAAAAAAATTGAGGGATCCCCTATCAGAGTTTTCCTTGTTATCATCAGTCCAAGTGCCTTTTAATACTGGTCGCTGCAGAAGGAGAAGTTTGTGCCACTGTTGACTGCTGCTTTTTAACAAAATCATCCAGCTCTGGGAGAAGCCGCCCTGCCAACGTCATTCAGGCCTGCTCTTGGTGGATCTGATCGTAACGCGTTCTTGTTCTTGCCTTTGGTTGATCTACCTCATCATAAGGGTGTTACCATGGCTCAATATGCCAAAAACTGTTTTTACATCATCTCACAGAAGGAAAACATTTTGTTTCCTAAGATTTTCCAAAAGGCGAACTTGTACTCTAGTGTGCGAAAATGGCACTACAGTGGTCTGTATCCTCCTCCATTCAGATTACCTGATATTAAATGCACAACAAGGGAATAAAGTTGAACTGAAATTCAAGCATTTGTTGGTTTTCTCTCTTGTTGAGCTTGAAGCAAAAAACATGATGCATATAGTTGCAAAACTTTTGTGATGTGCTAACTTTGGCTGATAAAGATCAGTGTATTTTAGACTGGCATTTCCCAAAATCCCTGATATTATTCCAAAGTAAATCTAGATGGATGATACATGTAGTGTTATGTGATATTCAGGTTGTCTTTAAAGTTTTGTACTTTACCTCTTTAATGGATTCCTTATTGATCACTAACATGCCAATTTCATTTAAATATATTTAGCATTTTATTCTTTTGAGCAGGTTGTTTATAATTCTTTTATTTATAATATAAGTACATTTAATCCCCAACTAATTGAAGAGCGTAATAGAACAATTTGAGTGAAGAAATCTGATTGCAACGTTTTCATATATTCATGTTTATGTGTAAAGATACATGTTTAGCCTACTTTGAGTCTTCCACCGCCCCCACAAATGTATATTTCTACCTCATAAAATATTTCAGAGCTAGGCATAACTAGAAAGTGGTTCATTAGCTCTATTTTATATGTTATAATTAACATATTGTTGCATATGTTAATAATAACAGAACATGTTTGAATTTTCTTTTGATGATTCTGGATGAAGTTGTATTGTGGTAGCGATTCCAACTGTTGCATTTTGACAAACTATTATGGCATTTTTCTAAGTGACTGTCGTTATATTGTGACATCTGTCAGTATGTAGTCTTTTTCCTCTTTAAAATGTACATTTTATTAAGCTTATTGGAGGTCTGGTAGAGCATGCTCTCCATAAAGGCTTGTAAAAATAAAGCGAGAGTGTGTGCTGACTAAACTCCTCGTGTCAGTACGGTTCAGCAGCAGAGGCTTGCGCACACTTGGAAATCTCGCGACACTAAAGCGCTGCTGTGTCAACACCCCGCGCGCACATCCCTCCTCAGCTGACGCCGTCTGCCTGCCGAGAAATCTCCTCTCCTGCGCTGAGGTGAGACCGTGAGCGTTACAGCCATGTTTAGACACGGTACACAGTCATTTCGCTCATATCATACTAAACATAGCTTTGTTTTAACTCCGTGTGCGCGAATCACAGACGCAATCCCAGGCATGTTGAGTAGCTTCATGACTTCCCATGGAACAAAAAGTGGTTAGGCACGTCTTTGCACTTGCTCTAGATTTGACTTCATATCTTCATTTTGTCAATGGAAAAACAATCGACACGCCATCACCCGATTGAAGCGAAATCTGCAGTATAGTGGAAAGTATGCTAGGTTATAGACGAATGGCTTAGGAGGAGTTTTCGCGGAGGAGATCGAGTGTTTGCAGCGTCCTCCCACAGTCAGTCAGAGATGGTGTCAAAGAGCTGCATTGTGTCCAGCTGAATGCGAGGGGTCGCTTTTGACTTTGAAACGAACACGAGAGCATGGCAAATGTGTGGCTGTTCAGTGCATTTTGAGGTTTCGGAATAATATTTGACCCGAAATGAAATATATAAATAATCATAAAGGGAAAACTCCACACGTGCTGTCGGCTCGTACACGTCCGTGTCAGTGTCTGAGTCGTTATCACGCTACGCTACTACGCACGCATATTGTGTTTGTTTGTAGCCAACATCAGAGTGTTGTGCTGTGTAATGTTATAATAGCCTACATTAACGAAACGAGCCAGCCAATAGCTGTGCGTTATCAGCCGCTTGGTTTGAAACACGCCAAATTTTCCAGCCGAATATAACATCTCTGTTAAAGCAATACACGGATATATGTGGAAAATTACTGTGTTTACTTTGTAGCGGTGTTCAAATTCTGTCTCTGCGCTTCCTACTAGTAGGCTATAATATTAATAATCATATCAATATTTAATGTCTGTGTATTATTTGGTAAGTAGCCTGTGAACGCCTTTAGGAGATCCCCTGTGGCAAAATAACCCTTGTCAGGGGTTACATTGCATTACTTACTAAATAAATCTGTTTGAACTAAAACACCCTTTGCGTTATGTAAGGGATAATGTACAGTCAGTGGGTTATTATGGTCAAAAAACCCTTATTTTGTGATAATAGCCAGCTGACCAATATATTTGCCAAATAATGGACATGAAACGAAGCTTAAAGCTTCCAAGAAGAAAATATATGACATGTGAAGCAAACACTGTATATTACACTGCAATGCAAAGTCAATTAGGCCTATATTATTTATTGGTAAATGTTACTTTTTCTATGTTCAAGGCTGGAATACAGTACACACAGAGCTGGGCAGATTACTGACAAACTGTTGTCTGCTACTGATTCCAAATTACATGACAAAAATGTCATCGTTTACATTATACTTTTTTGGTAATATAATTGGACTACTTTTTGATTACTTTTAGATTACTTTAGACCTGGCTCAATTATTACTTTGATTTAAATAGGATAATCTTGTTCCACTGATATACAAAAGGCGAAGAGAAAGAAAACATTCCATTCGTTGCTATTAACAACAACTGCATTAAACGTAGGGCTGGATATCTTTCAAAAATATTACATGGCCAAAACACACATTAGACGGCAATCGGAAGTTATTATAAACACTCGATGGTGGTTAAAAGTGAGTTTTGAGTAAAAGCGGAATATAAATCTTATTTATTGTCTTATGTAGCATGATGCTACAGTTTGCATGAATGGTCACATAACACGCGCTTTCGGTCGTGTAGTATGAACGGACATCTGGATATGATCGGAACTCCACGCAGCTCCTGCACTATTCTCCATTGGAAATGAATGACTGAATGACCCGTTTGTCGGAGATAGTGAAAAGCCGGCTTGAAATGCAGTGTAAATGCCAGTATGACGAGGATCGTTTTCATTTTAAAACATAAACGCACCAGTGTAAATGTAGCCTTACATCGAAGGGGGCTGGGACGCATTCACACTACAACCTCACGTGTGAGCCACATCTCTGAGTGTAACCGGTGTAGAGTTTCACAATTTGAGTTGAATTACTGAAATAAATGAACTTTTTCATGACATTCTAATTTATTGAGATGCACCTGTAGGTGTGTTCGACTTGACTTGACGTTTGACTTATCGAGCTTGACGACTTGAGTAGGTGTGTTCGACTTGACTGTGCAGACCGATCGGTGTATTACAGTACCACAAGAGCTAAAGAGAGCAGACTGCTCTGTGTGCTTTCGAAACGCTCTCGTGGATGTCAATCACTGATCGATCTGCGCCGCACCTCTTCTAGTCGAACACACCGGCTAGTGCTGCAGATTTATTGGCTCACTGACGCTGATGAGATTAACCCCTTAGGTATCGAAATTTGGTACCGAACGACGAGACGTTTTTCGATACTCGATGGTATCGAGGCATTTCGGTCAGTGCCTAAAAAGTATCGAACTCGATACCCAGCCCTAATTAAACATTACATTATGTCAAGTTTTCCCAAACGGGATGAACGATGAAAAAAGATTAGGAAGTATCAATAAATTATGAATCATTTATTGCTATTGTGTGAATAATATGTGATCATGTAATCAATAAAAAGTAACTGTAGTCTGATTACGAGTAATTTAAAATGTAATATAGGCCTAATCTAATTACTAGTACTTAATTTTTGTAATCTGAGGTTACCCAGCTCTGCGTACACATTTTAAAAAATCTGAACAGATTTCAAAACACTTGGCATCGTACACTTGCCAAGGCTATAAATGGTTAAAGAGGAAAAACTGGTCTGGGCTTCACTTAACAACTGAGAATCACACACTACCAGAAGTTGTTATGAACACAGCAAACTCACACAGAAACATGTACCTCATTGCTAGAAAATGCACAACAAATGAAAACAATACGTGCTCAAAAATATCAGACATGTTAGATCTCCAACGACTGGATAGAATCAAAGCCCGAAACTAACAAATTTGAGTCTGTGCCCATCATAGAGTAAGCAGTTTTCTGTGAAGCCTGTCAGCTCTTGACTGCTCAAAATCTGCTGACTGACTCTGACTTGAAGCAACTAGAGTTGACTTCAGACTGTAAATGAGGGCAAAAGTTGTGTAGTGTATTCCAGCAGTTAGCTAGCTAAAACGTCTCTACAGTGTATCATGATGACATTAAAATAGCACCGTTGTCATAGTGAGCCATGAAATATGTCGATTTGCTCTCATTATACAACAGCATTTAACTGCTCAATTACGTTTAACCAATTAAACAGAAATATAGATGCTCTGTCATATAAAGAGAATACGAAATGTTACTTTTTATTGCATAAAGAGAACCACAATATTACAAAACACTGACATACTCTTGACTTCCCTTTTCTGATTTGTTTTCCTCTACTTCAGACTATGATGAATGCAGTCTGGGCTGTCGATTGTGTAATGGATTTGAGGTGAGAATGGCACTTTCTCAGTCAAAATCGACCAAAATGGGAAAGTCGAGACTGTTCCGCATTTTTATGATAGTGGGCGCTATCTTCATGATCCTTCTTATAATCATATACTGGGATGATGTGGGGGCCTCAAATTTTTACCTGCACACAACTATCTCTGGGCCCCAACCATCACGCCTCTCTCCACAGAGCCGTCGTGACCCAGAAAAGAAAGTAGAGGAAGACAAAGAGGGCTCGTTTTTGACGGACATTGATGCTTTTGTCAACCAGTTTTTAGAAGGAACCGCGGACCCCACGGAACAGGTGAGAGGAGAACCGCCCCCTGGAGACCCTCACAATCAGTCTTCTGAGAAATCGGAGGAGAAATTTGTCCCGAGACGAGAGTGGAAGATCCATCTGACTCCAGTTGGCCCTGAGAAAAAACAAAGGCAGGAGAGTAGAAAGCAGCTGATCCAAGATGTGTGCGGTAACAAAAGTTACTTTGACTTCCCCGGAAAGAACAGGACTTTTGATGACATACCCAATAAAGAATTGGATCACCTCATCGTGGATGACAGGCATGGGATTATTTACTGTTACGTTCCCAAGGTGGCCTGCACAAACTGGAAGCGCATCATGATCGTGCTGAGCGAGAGCCTGTTATTGGACGGTGTGCCCTATCAAGACCCTCTGGATGTTCCTCAGGAGCTCATCCATAACAGTAGCCTGCACTTCACCTTCAACAAGTTCTGGAAGCGCTATGGAAAGTTCTCACGGCACCTCATGAAAATCAAGCTTAAGAAATACACCAAGTTTTTGTTCGTCAGGGATCCTTTCGTGCGACTGATCTCTGCCTTTCGCAACAAATTCGAACAAGAGAACGAGGACTTCTACAAAAGATTCGCAGTCGTCATGTTGAGAAAATACAGCAATTACACGGATCCACCGGCATCGGTCGTGGACGCTTTCGCTGCTGGGATTCGACCGTCTTTCTCCAATTTCGTTCAGTATTTATTGGATCCTAACACTGAGAAAGAGATGCCTTTCAACGAGCACTGGAGACAAATGTACCGTCTGTGCCATCCCTGCCAGATAAATTATGATTTTGTGGGGAAGCTGGAGACCTTGGATGAGGACGCTGAGCATTTGTTGCGGATTCTCCGCGTAGACAATGTCGTCGAGTTCCCGGAAAGTCATCACAACCAAACCATCAGCAGTTGGGAGCAGGACTGGTTCGCCAACTTACCGTTGGAGTCCAGAAAAGAGCTGTACAGGCTGTATGAAGCCGACTTTAAACTATTTGGATATTCCAAACCAGACAAGCTGGTACATGAGTGATACGCTGTTCGCCAACTTCACTGAGGTGCTGACAAGATTTTCACAGCACAAGAAACAGGGCAATAGGAGTTCCTGCTGCTTGGTTCTTAATGGCTCTTTCACGTGATGCTGTTTATAAAGGCCCTTTCACATGACCGGCGTCCAGATGTTTGGCTAGTTAACATGGTCCAGTTGGTAGATACCGTGATTGAATCATCTGCTTCCAAAAAGCATCTTTCTCCATTGACAGCTAAAAGTACGGCACCCACACATGACATCAGTAGAAAAAAATTAAGAAGTTGTTTCCACAACTTAATTTGTTCCCTCATTTTAGTTAAATTGTGGCCATGTTCTACTAATTTGTTCCCTTGTTCGATTGTGGCCACGATTGAACTAAATTAAAATGAGGAAACTAATTAGTTAGCCACGATTGATCTAAAACAAGTGAACGAATTAATACATGCCCATGATTTAGCTAAATTAAAATGAGCGAATAATTTAATACAAAGTGGGTGAATTAGTACACCATGGCCGTGATTTAAATAAAATGAGGGAACGAATGAGTACAACATGGCCACAAATTAATATGTTATGGGAACGATTTTCTTACTTTGTGGCCATGATATCTATTTTTTTCTTCCACGTGTCACATACATACAAAAGTATTTGTGATTCGCAAATATTATAGTGAATGTTTTAGCAGTGCCTGTTTTTTTTTCTTCTGAATTTATATTTTGAGGGCACTTAAAATCATAATATGGACATGGTTATTACATTTTTTTTTCCTCAGAGCTCATTATAATCACTAGAGAAGGGTGTAATGCAGTCAACCAATCAGCATTGCCTTGATCTTACAGCTCAGGTAATTGGCCAAAAACACACTGTAAGTAAAGATGATCAATAAGTCATGGAAAAAGCATGAAAAGCATTGCTGACTTTGTCACTGGCACTTTGAATAGATCAGTGATAAATGGTGCAGCAAACTTAATTTTGGTGTTGCGTTACAGTTTACTCTGTCCTGAGGGTAATGTTGAGTCATGTGAAAGAGCCTTTAGGCCTTTGTGGAGCTTGTGGGCATTGAAAAGTGAATATACATTCCTTGCACACAGGTTATATTTCCTCAGTCCATTTCCCAGTATCCCATTAAATGTGTTACTGTTATTTGTATGGATCTCATGGACCGTTTGAGAGACATTTTGATGGTTACCTACGCAAAGAAGCCTGCACAATTGTCTTTTTTTTAATATATATATATATATATTCTCAACAGTGTTTTAAAAACAAACTCATCACCTCATTAGTATTATTCTTATAATGTGGATGGATGTGATAATCCCAGCAAGAGACCTTTGTCCCTCAATTTTAAGTTGTATAGTTGTATGTTTTACCTAAAGAACCACCAAACTAAAATATCACAAGACATTTCAAAAAAGTATTGTACATTTAGCAAGTGCACATATTAGAGTATTTTAGAATATTTTTGTAACCTTTTACAGTTAAATGTGAAAAGTGAAGGCACTTTTGTCCTTGGCAAAAAAGCTACATAATATGACAAAAGTGAAGGCACTTTTGTCCTTGGCAAAAAAGCTACATAATATTTTGAAATGCAAGCAAAAGTTTTACAGTTTTTTTTTAATCATAAAGGGATCACTGCTCTTACAGCGGCTTCTTTTCTTTTCTTTAAGATGGCGCGTTTTTTAAACACAGAAACCTCCGTTTTTATGTTTCCATGGATTTTTTTTTGGTCCTTTTTCAACTTTTTAAAGTAGTTCATGGTCCTTTCTTGCACAAAATTGCCAGTGTTCTACAGTGAAGCAATTAGATTGAGTAAATGACATCAAAAATATATTTCTTTGTAATAGATGCTGGAGTATTCATATTATGGCCTGTTCTTGTCAAGCAAATCTTGCCTTTCATCATTTTGGTCCTTTTATTTTGTTAGTGTGTAGCAGGGACTGGATGAGCCCCCTGATCTGCAGCATGCTATAGATGTTAGCATGTGTGCCTTGCAGTCATTCATAAATATGCATCACTCATGAATATTGTAGCAAACTTACCGTTTTTTGCTCTGTTAGGTTTAGAGGGTAAAATAATGGCCTTGTTTGGATATAGTTAGGAATATAATTTCAGGCACAGGGTATTTATTTCTTACTTAGCAAGAGTAATTTGGTGTAATTGCTTTAGGTCATTGCAGCACAAATGTCAGTATTGTTTATAGTCGAACATGGGCATGTGCAAAATAAATATATTAGGGTTATTTTTTTTTAAGTATTTTCTGTACCAAGAAAGTGTTTTTTTTACTTTCCATCATGTTTTTGTGCCGCATTTTGCACATTTGATCACATGTATAAAATCGATCTCTAAGGCAGTGAGAGATAAGAGGATGGAAGAAAGTGGATTTGATTGTATATTGTAGTAGGGAATAATACTGTGGCGTACAAGTGTAGCATGATTGTTGTGGAAGTGACGGGCCAGAAGGAATGGGACATCCCAGTTCAGGGGAAGCCACGATTCTGAATTACCGCACTGTTGGGCTCATTAGGTAGCAGTGCCTTTGGAGAAAAGTTTACATTTAAAAAAAAAACAAGTATTTTTGTAAGCAAGTCTCTGACTTGCAGTCAAAACAATCAAAGCTCCTACTTAAACAAACAAAGCTCTAAGGCAGTGAGAGATAAGAGGATGGAAGAAAGTGGATTTGATTGTATATTGTAGTAGGGAATAATACTGTGGCGTACAAGTGTAGCATGATTGTTGTGGAAGTGACGGGCCAGAAGGAATGGGACATCCCAGTTCAGGGGAAGCCACGATTCTGAATTACCGCACTGTTGGGCTCATTAGGTAGCAGTGCCTTTGGAGAAAAGTTTACATTAAAAAAAAACAAGTATTTTTGTAAGCGAGTCTCTGACTTGCAGTCAAAACAATCAAAGCTCCTACTTAAACAAGCAAAAAAATAAAAAGTGTAGTTGTGCTTCTAATATGTGTTGCATCATGGAAAAGATGTGTAGTCACAATTTTGGCTGTGCTGTTGAGATTTGTCAGATCAGTTCCAACTTTTCCTATTGCATAAACCACAAGTTCTGTTATGTGTGCAGTTGCCTATGTTGTTGACCTCTGTTTCAAGATTAGGACCTGTTTTGTATACATTTGGTGCAACGTTGTACAAAGAAAGGTGTTATATTGTTTAGTGATCGTCTTGATGCCAATATTAAGAAAAAAAGTTTGTTTTTTTTAACCTGGCGTACTTTTCAGTCATGAATTTCTTAGTTGCATGAAATATTTTCAGGAGATCATGCCGAGAACAAAAGGGAAGCATTTGTTACATTAAATCAGGTCTTAGCAAGTGTGTTCTTAACATTTGGTTTGGTTTGCTTTTTTCCCCCTTTGGGCAATGTACATAGCTCTTTTATTTATTATGGTATTATTTAATGCTTCAATCTCAAAAGAAAAAAGTTCAATAAAGTTCGATGCATGATGCAAACACTGTAAAATTGTTATCTGCTCTTTATTTGGCTTACGGAAATGCTGTTAATTTCTAAAAGAACTGTGTTTATTCAGTAAAAGAGCTCTGAAGTTCATCCTGACCCTAAACACACACATAAGTATATTTATGTCATTGTAATTTAAATTATGGATTAGGGATGCATGTTGAAATTCAATTCCGATCAGAATAAATAAATGAAATAAAATACAAGAAATGTAACTAAATCGTGTGAAAAAAATATATACTGGAATAGAAAATACTATTTTAGTGTTTCTATCAAAATGTCATGTTTAATTAATGTTCTTTTTAATTGTGAAACTTCTAGCAAATCTATTTCTAGCAGTTTGAGTGAAAATATTTTTACTCCATTTTTCAGTGTAAACGTGAATTATTCATTTTTAAATTGGCTAAGGATTACATTGAATTATTATTTTTTTCATTTTAACTTTAGTTGAGTCTTGTATAAGGAAATACAGGAAATGAGCGCAATTAAATATCCAGTATCAGCCCAATACAGATAAAAAAAAAATACAGACTGTTAGGTACTGTTCATCCCAAAGAAAGATATAGCCTTCTACAGAATATTGGATTGTTGGCAGGTCCTAACCGCTAGATGGCACAGAAGTACACAAGTCCACTGCATGTTGAGAATTTACATAGGCATGAAAAGTGTGGTCATGTGATCATGCAGTGTCCAGGCATTCTGATTCTGAACCTACATTATCTTTATGTAACATTCCCCACTACCTTTGGTAAACTGGCTACTGAGAAAACAGGAGTGTTTAAGACGTGTCAGGAAACACTTACTGGTATTTTTAGTGTTCCTTTGTGTGTTGTAGGTATTACCAATGTACTGAAGCAGACAGGAAGCTTCTTCCTTTGACTGTAAGGAAATATCAGCGTGTGGAAGAGTGTGGTCACGAGGGCCACACAGAGCAGCGGTCACACATGGCCTGAGCTCTTTCCTTTACATCACCCTCCATGGCTACATGAACCACTCAGACAAGACAGGCTTTTGTCTGTCTTGATTCCTACACAGATTTGTTCCATATTTATGAAAGTGCACAAAACTTACAATAGAAATCGGAAGGGATGTTATGAATGATATTGCTGATGTTAGCTCTAGGCTCTTTGCAAAATTAGACATTCTCACTCAAGATCATGCAGGGGTGTAAGCAGCATATTTGCTGTGTTTTGCAATTGTAGTGTAAGGAGATTGACACAATGTTATTCTCAGTAATCAGAATTTCTATTCATAATCATAGGTGTAATATGCAAAGCCGTATTGGGTAGGTTGCAATACTATCTTTGGGTATAAACTAAAGATATTTGGAATAAAAGATAAATGCAATATGCAGCATGACTCCTTTAATATAGTTTTCATCCACAGGCTATACCAGAAAGATTAATTAAAAACGTCTGCTACATGCTTTAAAAAAGCTGGATTTTATAGTCTAAAAATCAATATTTACCCTATTAATTAGGCCTCCAGAGCTGTTTCTGTTTCTGAATTTATGAATCAGCTTTGGTCTGTGGGAATCTGACTAATTATTCGCTGCAGACGCACAAAAGCGCATTTGAATTAAATAGGAAATAATTAAATGATTTGGGATTTAAACTGCAAAAATGTAAACGTACACCATGATCCTGAGACCAAAAGAGCTGTTTGACTCCCACCAATATCAAATAGACCTCTCGGGTTAAACAGAAGATGAGATGCCTCACAAGAGTTTTGCAAAGTGATTGGCATTTTAATTTGGTAAACATCAAAATGATATGGCAGTATTTTGTGCTTTATTAATTTAATTAATTAAATTAATTAATTTAATTGTGCTTTAATAATCAGAACAGTCAATTGATTTTCTGC